TATATATATATATACTACTCTGGATGGCGCTCACATGACCCTATGCAGTTGCAAGCACCGTAAAAACCTTACTAAAACTAAACAAAACTCTGGCACATTTTTAAGTATACACATTTTAAAGCTCAATTTAAAAAATCTTTGCAACTTTTTATTTTCAAATTTACACACTGACTACGTGATATACCTGTCGCTGGTGGGTCGTTTTCATATTTCTGAACTCGCGACTGGTTTTGTTACTTCGTGCGTGATTCAAGTTTTGTGTTTTTGAGAATTACTCCTGACACAGCAATGATTTGTTTGAAAAAGAAGTACACGTCAAAGCTTTATCATTTTTTGTACCAATTTGCCAGTGATAAAAACTTGTGTTGTCTACTTTTCATAACGCCACGCCTAAAAGAGAATGTGCTACATCAACTCGTTGAAATGATTTGCGGGGATGCCTCAGTATCCATTGCTGCTAGACATGTTAATTTAACAAGAAGAACTGTGTTCGCAACAATGGATCGAGAAAGAACGACAAGATCACAAAAGGATCGAACTCGTCGACTTGGGAGAAGAGAAACTACTCCAAGACAGGATCTTTGTACACGCCTGTCGCATCTACGGAATCCTTTCAAAATGGCTAGACAAACCCAGGATGAGTTGAACAACATGCGACCTGTCAACCCAATATAAAAAACGACTGTATTGAGACGGTTGAAAGAACTTGGACTCCGAGCAAGGTGCCCAGCTCCCCGCATACGATTGACGCCCTAGAGCATTAGAAACAGGCTTGATTAGGCAAGAATCCATTCACGTTGGTCTCGCCATGTATGGCATAACCACATGTTCTCCAACGAATCCAGAATTCTTTTGAAACGTCAAAATGGAAGAAAACGTGTATTCCGGAGAGTAAATGAGAGATTCGTTCCTCAATGCCTAAGTCAGTCCAGAGCTTTTGGTGGTAGAAATGTGATGACGTGGGGGATGAATTACAGCAGCTGGCAAGACCCCCACTTGTGGCTGTTCATGGCAATTTGACAGCACACCGGTACGTTGACGAAATTCTTCAACCATACTTCATTGCAGCCATTCAAAATATATATATATACTTTTTCATTTTTAACTTCACACCTCATATTATTACAGGCTTATCAAATCTGTCTTAAAATTTTAGATCAGACGGCGCATTTATTTTACAGCAAAGGAAACACGTTGAATGACGTAAAGTTTAAAATGTTTTTCGTCTTCAATGTTGAAACTGTTGTCAGGGAACTAAATGCAAAGTGGCAGCTTCAGTAACGTGTGATGACAACTGGCGTTGTTCCTATCTGCATGGACTGAATGAGTCGAGTTGTTGTCTTTTAACGGATGTTATTCCACTCTAGAAATAAAGGCTTGTTATAACTGAGCATGGGTCCGGGGCTGACGTGGTCTGGCACGAATAGCGCGATTTAAAATGTCCCGCAAGTTCTCATTTTAATTGAGATTTGGTGAATGCGCTGTCCATAGGTGTAAGACTAAGAGAGGAATATTGTTAGTTTTGAGAAATTGATTTCTCAAAGCAGCTTTATAAGCAGGTGCATTATCATACATGAATATTTATCCTAAGGTTTGATTTTGAAAGAAAAGTACTTTGGGCTCGAGAGCGTGGTTGATGTAGTTTTGAGCTGTTATGTTCCCACGAATAGACACAAGTGTGGTTTTGCCGGCATCGCTGATTCACTGCCTCCACCGAAATTATTTTTTGTCTGAAGCAAGATAGAACTGGAAAGTAACCTTAGTTTGTGTCTTCTGTATACTCTTCATGGCCCGTCCATCGTGCCGTTTCAGTCGAAATTAGGACTCATCTGAAAACATATACGTATTCCAAATACAATGCGGCTTTCTCACGCGATGCTGTGCCCAGTGACGGGGCTGCAGTTTTATGAGACAAACTAGGCCTCTAGCACGAAGGTTCCCCTCTTTCAAACGAAGGATAACAGTAATTATAAAGATCGGACGATCATTTCTATAGTCTGGACAACACCAAATTGACAACTTGTCGGCCTTATTACACTGAAACTAAGTGGCGAATTGATCTAATTTTTTGCATGTGCCTTTGAATTACAAAAGAAAAACCCCTAAAATATCTCGATTGTCGTGCTTTTGCGACAAATATAAAGAAGTGTTTTCTGTATATAATCATTAGTATTTAATTACAGTGTACGTGAGGAATTTTCATTAGAACAAGAACGGTAGTTGATTATTAGTTATGTTTTTGTTTTGTTTTTTCTTTCAATCTATTTGTTTAACTGACTACATGTGCCGCAAGACTGAGTTGTTTTCAGTCCAGCGGCTTGTGGTTGACAGTGGGTTTATTTAGACTGACTAATTGTGATATACACTGCGTAAAATTTCTTTCATATCTTCACAGTTTTTTAGATCGTTTGCGTTTCAATATGCTGTCACATTTCCATTAATCACCATGGCTTGATTACGGTACTTAATTTACAAACCTAAAAACAAGTTGCCTTAAAATTATTGAAGTACTGAGTTACTGTTGACATGTCAGATGATGATGATGATGAATTTGATATTTTATTATTATTATTATTATTATTATTATTATTATTATTACTATTATTATTATTTTATTTTTATTATTATTATCGTCATCATCATCATCATCTTCATCATCATCATTATTCAAAAATTTAAAAAATAATAATAATAATAATAATAAATAATATTTATAATAAGTAACAAATATAAAGACGCAAAATACTTCCAATAATACATGTTTTATATTCAGGTGGCTCGAAAATGTATGTGTAAGAGGGGGGGGGGGGGGCTCTGCCTATGGACCTGCATGGGGGTGAGGGGGGGGGGGTGCCCAGTGACATGCCTATTAGCGCTTCAAATTTAGCACTCTGTTGACCCACGGTTTTGGGTTTGACCAAACTGTATCCCCCCCCCCCCTTCCCTCCTGAAATTTCTGGCTTAGCCCCTGCAACGACACCCTGTATTGTTATGGTTTTAGTATTGTACCGTGCTTCCTATAAAAAGTGTGTGGTGTTGAGTTTAATGAGCAATTAGTTACTAATGATTATATAGACAGCACCTCTTTATAATTGTCGCACATGCACGAAAATCGAGATTTTTAAGGTCTTTCAGAATTCAGAAGCGCATGCAAAAAAATCAGAGAGATTAGCCACTTAGATATTCGGTGTAATGCGATCGACAAGTTGTCCATTTGTTTTTGGCGGGACCATA